TCCAATACTATTCCCTGCTACTAGAGCACAGTAGTTTTTTTTTCTTTTTGTTTTGCCGCCTTCTATTTCCTGAATAATTCTCTTACGCTGTAAAACCTGTGTCCTATGAAAAGAGACTTTCAGCATAATATAAAAATATGTTGGCGCCTTTAACCGTCTTTAACTTACATTTTTTGTCACAGCATAAAAAGAACGGCATGAGTGATGATCTTTATTTCAACACTTTGACACTCTGCAGTTAAACCAATTAAGATTAATTTTGTCATAATTGCTAACCCTGCCACCCTGCTCTCAGCAGATTTTCATTGAGCGAAATGGTCTCAAGGATATGCTTTCTCAAACATCTCCTATACCCATTGCTTTCTCAAACTGTTTTTGTTGATCGTATAGTTTAGCTTATAGTTTGAGCCATTTGGAGGATATGTATACAGTATTAATCGTTCATTAATTCGCCTTGTGCAAACTTAATTAAAATACAACCAAGGGAGAGTAGGGAGGATGCATATTTATCTACTCCACCTAGTTTATCTACTTCACGCCAATCAGCTATTGGTTTTGTGAATCATTCGCGTACGAACATTTTCTACATGGCCCCATGATGACAAGTTGCATCCCATTCCCCCGATTGTATTAATTGTTCTCCACGTACACCTAGTTGCTTGGTGGAGATTATGAGTGTTCTCCAAGTACACCTAGTTGCTTGGTGGAGATTACGAGTGTTCTCCACGTACACCTAGTTGCTTGGTGGAGATTATGAGTGTTCTCCACGTACACCTAGTTGCTTGGTGGAGATTATGAGTGTTCTCCAAGTACACCTAGTTGCTTGGTGGAGATTATGAGTGTTCTCCACGTACACCTAGTTGCTTGGTGGAGATTATGAGTGTTCTCCACGTACACCTAGTTGCTTGGTGGAGATTACGAGTGTTCTCCACGTACACCTAGTTGCTTGGTGGAGATTATGAGTGTTCTCCACGTACACCTAGTTGCTTGGTGGAGATTATGAGTGTTCTCCAAGTACACCTAGTTGCTTGGTGGAGATTATGAGTGTTCTCCACGTACACCTAGTTGCTTGGTGGAGATTATGAGTGTTCTCCACGTACACCTAGTTGCTTGGTGGAGATTATGAGTGTTCTCCACGTACACCTAGTTGCTTGGTGGAGATTATGAGTGTTCTCCACGTACACCTAGTTGCTTGGTGGAGATTATGAGTGTTCTCCAAGTACACCTAGTTGCTTGGTGGAGATTATGAGTGTTCTCCACGTACACCTAGTTGCTTGGTGGAGATTATGAGTGTTCTCCACGTACACCTAGTTGCTTGGTGGAGATTATGAGTGTTCTCCACGTACACCTAGTTGCTTGGTGGAGATTATGAGTGTTCTCCACGTACACCTAGTTGCTTGGTGGAGATTATGAGTGTTCTCCACGTACACCTAGTTGCTTGGTGGAGATTATGAGTGTTCTCCACGTACACCTAGTTGCTTGGTGGAGATTATGAGTGTTCTCCACGTACAACTAGTTGCTTGGTGGAGATTATGAGTGTTCTCCACGTACACCTAGTTGCTTGGTGGAGATTATGAGTGTTCTCCACGTACACCTAGTTGCTTGGTGGAGATTATGACAGATCTGATGTAGCATGATTGATTGGACCATAATGATCAAACTAGGTACTAGAACTGGGTACGGTAATGTCATCTAGACCTATCTAGAACTGGGTACAGTAATGTTATCTAGACCTATCTAGACCAGGGTACTAGATATAGAGCGGAGACCCAGCCTCTGCTCGGTACCATGCAGCCCCCCCCCCCCCCCACTGACGTAGTGTAAATTACATTGTTGTTTTGCATTAGTCTTACTCTGTAGACAGAGACGCAATGTTCGGTGATATCTCCTACTCTATACTATATATATACTCTAGCTTTTATTTCATTGTCAACTTTACAATTTACATATATATATATTTTTAACACATATTACAATAGTGGAGCAGAATCACGCCCAAATTTGGTACTGTCATTTCCTTATTTTGACTTATGTGTATAATTATATATTATGTTATATTGGTACGTTATATTGGTACGTTATTGGTAGCTCGATACTTGTTGACCCCATTATTACAATGATCTGAGACACTAGCGTTAGAAGTTAGAACGAGTCTACCGTTACAGGTTATATCCATGAAATGAGTTTCAAGAAGTCATGTTTTTTGTCTTTTATTCCCGTTATCTACATTTCAGTTTTCAATCCTATAGTCTTGTCGGACACTGTAGTTTAATAAAGATTATCACTGTGGGAGTGTAGGACACGCATTCTATCTAGCTCTAAAAATATATTTATATATTATGAGGTCTAGTATTGCTTCTGATCGATGTTTCTTGGAACTGTCCGTTTAATATCGGAGTAACGGTCACGCGGGAGTGAGGTTAACAGAGTGGCCCCCCTTAACAGTACCCCCCCCCCCCCCCCCCCTTAACAGAGTGACCCTCCCCCCCCCCCCTCCTTAGTGAGGTTAACAGACTTACACAGTAAATATACTGCTGGTATTCGAAATATAACTATCTGCAAACTATCTGCAAATAGTTGACCTCTAGTTGTAAACACGGTTAGTACCGAGTAGTTAGCATGGTCCGAGCCTGCCCGTGTCTATACCTGCCCGCGCCACTCTACCGGGGATTAGTGGCTCATTTGATCTTTGAGTTTTTTGTGCCTTCTAATGTAGGTCTCTGATTGGTTAGTGTGTGTCACGTGGTTTGAATACTGTCTCTGATTGGTTCTGATGTTGATCCATACTTTAAGCCGCCGCCTACCATGATTACTATCGTCAAATACTTAGGTGACGGATATACGTATTTCTTTCTGAGTTTTCTACAGAACTAGAAAAAAATGAATTATAAAACTAGAGAGCTAGAAAACCCTAACTCTTTAGATTTATAGTTCTCTAGTTCTCTACGGTTCTAGTTTTCTAGTTCTCTAGTTTTATAGTTCTTTTGTTTTCTAGATCTGTAGCTCTCAGGGACGTAGCCAGGATTTTTCTTTGAGGGGGGCTGTCGGCGAGCGAAGCGAGCCGACGCGTCCAATTAAGCTGCGCAGCGAGTGAAGCGAGCAAGCTGTGGCAGGGGTCTGGGGGCGCAGCCCCCAGCGGTATCCAGGGGCGGAGCCCCTTGGCGGGGGCTAGGGGGGCGCAGCCCCACGGAAATATTTTGCGAAACAGGGTGTTTTAGACGACATTTGGCATTAAAGAAATTTGTAGGACAGCAATAAACTGGGATTGAAAAGAATCATTATCAAGTACTCACGTAAATTCGGTAACTTCACAACAGCAATCTGCATTCTCCAATCAAAATTTACGACTTACTCAGGCCTCATCGTCTTAAGATTTTTACATTTCCTACGGTCTAGGGGACACTATTGACTATAATTATAGAAGTCTTCTAGAATGTTTGCTTGGATTTAATGACATATATTTACTAATCCACAGATCAAATCTTTGACTGACTGCAGTCATAAACACAGCCCAGTTACCAGGCGACCATGGGGACTAGGGGGCTTATCTTTTTTCTGGGGTTCGATTTTTTCCGGGGGGGCTGCCGCCCCCCTAGCCCCCCCCCCCCCCTGGCTACGTGCCTGCTAGCTCTCTAGTTTCATAGTTCTCTAGTTCTCTAGTTTTCTAGTTCTCTAGTTCTCTACGGTTATAGTTTTCTAGTTTTCCAGTTCTCCAGTTCTTTAGTTTTTTAGGGTTTTCTAGTTCTCTAGCTCTCTAGTTTTCTAGTTCTCTAGGGTTCTAGTTTTCTAGTTCTTTTTTTCTAGTTCTCTAGCTCTCTAGTCTTCTAGTTCTCTAGGGTTTTCTAGTTCTCTAATTTTCTGGTGCTCTAGTTCTCTACGGTTATAGTTTTCTAGTTTTCCAGTTCTCCAGTTTTCTAGGTTTTTAGGGGTTTCTAGTTCTCTAGCTTTCTAGTTTTCTAGTTCTCTAGGGTTCTAGTTCTCTAGCTCTCTAGTTTTATAGTTTTATAGTTTCTAGTTTTCTAGTTTTCTAGTTTTCTAATTTTCTAGGGTTCTAGTTTTCTAGGGTTCAAGTTTTCTAGTTTTCTAGTTCTTTAGGGTTCTAGTTTTCTAGTTTTCTAGTTTTCTAGTTTTCTAGTTTTCTAGTTTTCTAGTTTTCTAGTTCTCTAGGGTTCTAGTTCTCTAGTTTCTAGTTTTCTAGTTTTCTAGTTTTCTAGTTTTCTAGTTTTCTAGTTTTCTAGTTCTCTAGGGCCTAATATTCTCAGTTGTAACATCAGCTGCAGACCATGCACCCTATTTGGAGTTGAACCATATAAATCATGTTTATTACTTGTTGAGGTTGGGGGAACATTGCTCAATACCTGGAATACACGCATCACAAGACATGTGGAATACCCCACACTGGCTAATATATTATAAATCAAAATGGAGCAGGACCCCTATTGGTTAAGACAGTGACGCCCCTTACTGGTGATGTAGTGTCACGTGCTACCCATTACATACTCTCATTGGATTGTTTATTTTGTAATCTTGTTTTAATAAACTGCACGCTTTGACCGGCCTTGACGCTGAAATTCTCAAGCAGTTTTAATACTACTCTAATAACGGCTCTAATAATACGGAGGTTTCATTGTAATACCACATTTAGTGTTGAAAGTGATTCAGTAGTCAGTACCTCTCTGATCTCTCTCTCTGATTCAGTACCATCGAACGATTGTTAGGTGTTTTAATTGTTTTCAAGCTGTTATTTTAAATTAGATTTAACTTATTCCTGCTCGTTATAATTTTTGTTGGAGAGTTTGCCGTTCGTATTGATTGACATGTACTCTGTACTGTTGATGTACTACTACTCTGTACTGTTTATTTTGTAGCATTACTGATGCGTTTTCCTCCCTCTAATTATATAATTGAAGAACTGGGTAATAACTTATAAGCTATAACTTGCTAATAAGTGTTAACATACATAGACTGCACAGTGTTAACACCTTGCTTATACCAGCTCTTATATGGTACAGAATGGCAACCTCCCCATTTGAGCTCCTCACCACTTCACATGGTAAACAAAGCGTCCACTGATCTACGTCAAGCTTGTCAGACCGCCCTGGCTTCCACTACCATGTCTGAGTCAAAGATAAAGATCGGACTTACCCGGGGTTTGGTGGACGGCGGGGAAATATTCGCTCAGTTCTCCCTCTCCTCTACCGCCCATTACCAGCATCTCTTCACCTACATCAGTGCCATTTGCTCCCGAGAGAAGGTGCTGGCTATTTACTGGTTTAACCGTCACGACAGGGAGTTTGTTCTCATCCACGACAACACTTCTATGGACCTGTGCCTTGTCCAGTCCGGGCTCCATGAGATTCTCTACATAATAACAGAGAGCTGCAGTAAGCTGCACGGCTACAACTCTAAACATAAACCTGAGCCCATACAACTCAAGACTTCCTCCCCTAGCTCGGGGCCTAGTCCTGATACAGGTAAATTAGCTTTAATTCCAATATCCCGGCCCTTCCTCTCCTAGCTCGGGGCCTAGTCCTGATACAGGTAAATTAGCTTTAATTCCAATATCCCGGCCCTCCTCTAGCTCGGGGCCTAGTCCTGATACAGGTAAATTAGCTTTAATTCCAATATCCCGGCCCTTCTCTCGCGTTGTGTAAACATTCCTTGTATAATTGACCTTACACTCCTTGTATAATTGACCCTATAACACTCCTTGTATAAAACTTGTATAAAACAGCTAACTTGGAGCGGTCTAGCGAGGAAGACCAACCGAGCAGCACTCAGCAGGGAGAACAACACATTCCTCTAAGGAAGATGAAGAAGAGTGCTAGTTTGGAGTGGAGTTACGAGCATCCCCCCTCCGTACAGGAGGTTTCTTCCAGAGGTAAGAGTGCGAGTTTGGAGTGGAGTTACGATCATCCCCCTCCGTACAGGAGGTTTCTTCCAGAGGTAAGAGTGCTAGTTTGGAGTCGAGTTACGAGCATCCCCCTCCGTACAGGAGATTTCTTCCAGAGTAGGTAAGAGTGCGAGTTTGGAGTCGAGTTACGAGCATCCCCCTCCGTACAGGAGATTTCTTCCAGAAATAAGAGTGCTAGTTTGGAGTGGAGTTACGAGCATATACTCCTGTGTTTGTTTGTTTATTCGTTTGTTATTTTTTATTTTTGCAATATTAGGATGTAATTAAATAAGCTGTTTAGAATAAATTAATTGATCAGATTCAGTAGTTACTTCACTGTTTGAACTATGAAGTATATCCCGGAGTGGAGAAGTGTATATTACTGATGTTCAGATGGCTATATTTTGTTGGTACACACACGCAGTGGCGTAACGTTGCGCCACTGCACACACTACGCAGTCAACACTTGCGTTCATCTATTTGTCCCTCTCAAACTTAATCGTGTATCAAGACATCAGACTTGGTTTATATTGAGCAAATTTATCCCCTGTCTTTTAATATTCAGCGCCGTTTTGCCTCGAATTAAATCATAATTAATAAAATTATACAGTAGACTTGGAGCCCAGTTTTTAGGTAAACCAAACCATTGACCTGGTTGAGAGCACGCAGGACAACAACTCGGTGAGAGGTGTCAAATTTAGCGCGCACCCACAAAGCCCCACCTAAATACACACTAGGTGCAAATTGCATTGAACAGGCTAGTGTCTGTTTTACCAATGATCGTTGGGAGCTGCTGATTGGTCGAGAGGGAGGAGATGGGGAGCTGCTGATTGGTCGAGAGGGAGGAGCTTCTCTCATTTTCTCATCATATCTCAGACATGAGGAGACCTAACACTACTTGCTTAATTAATCGGTTTTATCGGTAATTTTACCTACGTTTAGACCCGCGGTTAATTAGACTGACTATTTTACTGATTGCTTGACTCGTCTGACTCAAGTTTACACAATTTGAATCTGGGCGAATGTTTGCTTTAATTTTGATATAGTTCGTGTTTAGTCGTGGTCTAGTCGACCAGTAAATTAGTAGTAGTATTAGTATTATTAGTATTAGTGATTAGTATTAGTCTTAGTACTAGTAATATTAGTAGTAGTAATATTAGTATTAGTAATATTAGTATTAGTAATATTAGTATTAGTCATATTAGTATTAGTAATATTAGTATTAGTATTAGTATTAGTAATATTAGTATTAGTATTAGTATTAGTAATATTATTAGTATTAGTAATATTAGTATTAGTATTAGTAGTAGTATTAGTATTAGTATTAGTATTAGTATTAGTATTAGTATTAGTATTAGTATTAGTAGTAGTATTAGTATTAGTATTAGTATAAGTATTAGTATTAGTATTAGTATTAGTATTAGTATTAGTATTAGTATTAGTATTAGTAGTAGTATTAATATTAGTATTAGTATTAGTATTAGTATTAGTATTATTAGTATTAGTATTAGTAATATTAGTATTAGTATTAGTATTATTAGTATTAGTATTAGTAATATTAGTATTAGTATTAGTATTAGTATTAGTATTATTAGTATTAGTATTAGTAATATTAGTATTAGTATTAGTATTAGTATTAGTATTATTAGTATTAGTATTAGTAATATTAGTATTAGTATTAGTATTATTAGTATTAGTATTAGTAATATTAGTATTAGTAGTAGTATTAGTATTAGTATTATTAGTATTAGTATTAGTAATATTAGTATTAGTATTAGTATTAGTATTAGTATTATTAGTATTAGTATTAGTAATATTAGTATTAGTATTAGTATTATTAGTATTAGTAGTAGTATTAGTATTATAGTATTAGTATTAGTATTAGTATTATTAGTATTAGTATTAGTAATATTAGTAGTAGTATTAGTATTAGTAATATTATTAGTATTAGTATTATAGTATTAGTATTAGTAATATTATTAGTATTAGTATTATAGTATTAGTATTAGTAATATTATTAGTATTAGTGATTAGTATTAGTCTTAGTACTAGTAATATTAGTATTAGTAATATTAGTATTAGTAGTAGTAATATTAGTATTAGTATTAGTATTATTAGTATTAGTAGTAGTATTAGTATTAGTATTAGTATTAGTATTAGTATTATTAGTATTAGTGATTAGTATTAGTCTTAGTACTAGTAATATTAGTATTAGTAATATTAGTATTAGTAGTATTAGTATTAGTATTAGTATTAGTATTAGTATTAGTATTAGTATTAGTATTAGTATTAGTATTAGTATTAGTATTAGTATTAGTATTAGTATTAGTATTAGTATTAGTATTAGTATTAGTATTAGTATTAGTATTAGTATTAGTAATATTATTAGTATTAGTATTAGTAGTAGTATTAGTATTAGTATTAGTATTAGTATTATTAGTATTAGTAATATTAGTATTAGTAATAGTATTAGTATTAGTAGTAATATTAGTATTAGTAATATTATTAGTATTAGTATTATAGTATTAGTATTAGTATTAGATTAGTATTAGTATAGTATTAGTATTAGTATTAGTATTAGTATTAGTATTTAGTATTAGTATTATATTAGTATTAGTATTAGTATTAGTATTAGTAATATTATTAGTCTTAGTATTAGTAGTAGTATTAGTAATAGTATTAGTATTAGTATTATTAGTATTAGTAATATTAGTATTAGTAATAGTATTAGTATTAGTAGTAATATTAGTATTAGTAATATTATTAGTATTAGTATTAGTATTAGTAATATTAGTATTAGTAGTAATATTAGTATTAGTATTAGTATTAGTAATATTAGTATTAGTAATATTAGTATTAGTATTAGTATTAGTATTAGTATTAGTATTAGTATTAGTATTAGTAATATTATTAGTATTAGTATTAGTATTAGTATTAGTATTAGTATTAGTATTAGTATTATTAGTATTAGTAATATTAGTATTAGTAATAGTATTAGTATTAGTAGTAATATTAGTATTAGTAATATTATTAGTATTAGTATTAGTATTAGTATTAGTATTAGTATTAGTATTAGTATTAGTATTAGTATTAGTATTAGTATTAGTATTAGTATTAGTATTAGTATTAGTATTAGTATTAGTATTAGTATTAGTATTAGTATTAGTAATATTATTAGTATTAGTATTAGTAGTAGTATTAGTATTAGTATTAGTATTAGTATTAGTATTAGTATTAGTATTAGTATTAGTATTAGTATTAGTATTAGTATTAGTATTAGTATTAGTATTAGTATTAGTATTAGTATTAGTATTAGTATTAGTAATTAGTATTAGTATTAGTATTAGTATTAGTATTAGTATTAGTATTAGTATTAGTATTAGTAATAGTATTAGTATTAGTATTATTAGTATTAGTATTAGTATTAGTAATAGTATTAGTATTAGTAATTAGTATTAGTAATTAGTATTAGTATTAGTATTAGTATTAGTATTAAGTATTAGTATTAGGTATATAGTATTAGTATTAGTAATTAGTATTAGTATTAGTATTAGTATTATTAGTATTAGTATTAGTATTAGTATTAGTATTAGTATTAGTATTAGTATTAGTATTAGTATTAGTCTTAGTATTAGTATATTAGTATTAGTATTAGTATTAGTTAGTATTAGTATTAGTATTAGCTATTAGTATTAGTATTAGTATATAGTATTAGTAATATTAGTATTAGTATTAGTATTAGTATTAGTATTAGTATTAGTATTAGTAATATTATTAGTATTAGTGATTAGTATTAGTCTTAGTACTAGTAATATTAGTATTAGTAATATTAGTATTAGTAGTAGTAATATTAGTATTAGTATTATTAGTATTAGTCATATTAGTATTAGTAGTAGTATTAGTATTAGTATTAGTATTAGTATTAGTATTATTAGTATTAGTAATATTAGTATTAGTAATAGTATTAGTATTAGTAGTAATATTAGTATTAGTAATATTATTAGTATTAGTATTAGTATCAGTATTAGTAATATTAGTATTAGTCATATTAGTATTAGTATTAGTATTAGTATTAGTATTAGTATTAGTATTAGTATTAGTATTAGTATTAGTATTAGTATTAGTAATAGTATTAGTATTAGTATTAGTATTAGTATTAGTATTAGTATTAGTATTAGTATTAGTATTAGTATTAGTATTATTTTTTTTTTTTTTTTTTTTTTTAGAGAGGCTGGGCCTGGTTGGCCCACGAGAGGATAGCATATGAATGCTTTGCCTACCTCTGGGGTATGGCAGTCCTGTGGGAGGATGCCAGTGGAATCAAGATGTGTAATCAAGGATGATGGTAAGTGTTGTGGGGTGTGTCATAGATAAACGCTTAAGTGGTGGTTGAGTGTGGAAGAGAGAGGCGAAATAAGACGGCGTTAAAGTAGTCGCTATGTTACACCTGTCTGGTCCAACTCCTCTGGCACCACTAAGCGTTTAGTGTGGTTTGTAAAGTTGACAATGGTGGAGATGTGTTGGTTGTCGAATATGTCATTGACAGAGAGGTAGTAGTCCCGGAAATATTGACCTCTTATTTGGGCAATAGCCGGGCACTGTCCGAGAAAGTGTGAGACAGTCTCCTCTTCGTCGCCGCATTTAGGACAAGCACTTGTGTCTGATTTGCGAATGGTGTGTAGGTGTTTGTTGAGGCCACAATGTCCCGTGATGAGGTGCACTGCAGTTCTATAATTTTGTCTGTTGTTACTGAGTGTAGTGTTGAGATTTTTGATGATGTTGATGTTTTTATGTCCAAGTGTCAGTTTAGTGTGTCTGGGACCATCAGTAATCCATGATTCTTGATTAAGTTTTGTGACTTTGTCGTTGATCAGGCGTTTGATGTAAGATTGTGGAATTGGGCAATTCAAAGTGGATTCACTGGTTGTACCATTTTTGGCCAGCTCGTCTGCTTTTTCATTACCCCACAATCCAATGTGTGCAGCTAT